TTTTTTTTTTTTTTTTTTTTAAAGAACCAGGAGCTGTGGTGTGCAGGGCAGCCATTGGGGGGGCTGGGGGAGTGGGCAGAGGATGGGGGCTGGCAGGGGTCCCCCCATGGTCCCCTTCCCCACCACCCCCTTCCCTGCCTCCTACTTACCAGCTCGGAGTTGGCTCCAGCGCCCTGCTGCAGCCACCAGGGACTGCCCAAATCATCAAAGCTCTCTCAATCTTTTCCAAAGATTGAGAGAGCTTTGAATCTATTTGGACCTTTTTATTGGTCCCCAATTCAATTTGGATTTGGAGATCTAGCCACCAAATCAGGCTGAACCTCCTCCAAATCAAATCAGCAGCTGAAGCTTTGCACAGCCGTAACAACGCTCCAAAATGCAGATCTCAAAAAACTTCTTACAATGAAGCCAAAGTCAATGCTCCATTAGGATCAACAGAACTGCAGTTTAGCTTGGTCCTGTATCATCTTCAAGATGAAAGTCCTTGATGTTGGAAGCTGAGCCCTCTGGGTATCTCCAAGACCATGTGGAGTTTTAGTGAAGTTGCTAGGGCTCTGGGGGAAAGGAGGCATCTAATTCACATGGACAGGTGCCCTCATGCCAAGACTAGATCCTGTGGCTGTTTCTCAGAGCAAACTCCACCTGACTCCAGTTTGAACCGTCAAAGGTATAGCTTTGATAGTTTGATATTTTAGAGAAAGGCACATAATGCAACACAACTCAAGTAGATTCCACAGTATTTTATGACAGTTCAGTTTGCAACAGGTGCAGTATAACCTACTCCCTCGCCCGCTCACTATCCCACAGCAACCCTTCAATGCTACGAGCTACTTCAAAAAATGCACAAATTCCACTGCTAGCAACGACTGTCAAAAATAGTGAGCGTCACAGGCCAGCAGAGCCAACGCTGCAGGACGAGACTGCCACAAAATTAACCTTGGAGCATGCTATCCTACCACTCTTTTAATTCCTCCATGCCCTTGTTAAATTTAGGAGATTAATATATTTTCAGTCACACATCTTGTAGGCAGGTGACCACTGACCTCCAGGCACAATGAGTCAGGATTTTTTGACACCCACGCTACTGCAGTGAGGGACATGTGTGCGACCACCAGACCCACTGGGAAGTGACCTGTGAAATGAAGCCACGGGTATTGTCCATCATGGTAATGCATGCTCCTCCCACAGACGCAGTGAGTTTTAACAGAGGATGCTTTGTTACGTTCTGTCTCTCGGTTCAAATAGCCTTCTGCAATTACACATTATGTTACTTTCCCCTTACAGTCTTCTGAAGTGATGCAGGAAAGATGCACCTGCTTTGTCCAAACAGATTATTTGGGATATAATAAAGCCTTCAAATTATAAATAAGCCAGGAAGTTTGAAATAAAGCAAGAGAAATGTTACTGCTTTCATAAGCAGACAAGCTGAAAGTATTCTTTTAACCATCCAGATTTCAGGTACAGGCAGTTCAACAAGTAATGAAAAATATCTTTACACACTGACACATAAGGACCTTGTCTTTTTAAATACATTTTCTGAAGCTGCTTTTAAGAACGTGTGAACAAACACTAGCTCTAACGCGCATTTAAATGTATAATTAAGCTCACTTGAACACAAATGCTTTATTTTTTCATTTCTTTTCTTCTCCTTTTTTCTTTACAAATTTTGGAACTATTTTAAGCATATACATTTTATGCTTACGCTTACAATTTCCTCTCCTTTAAATTACTCTAGTCCTTTAAACCACAGAGCATTCAGAGAGAGCTGTCATTGTTCAAGTCCAGTCAGCAAATATCCACGTCACTGAAAATGTTTCCAGTGATACAATAATATTTTGATCTAAGTAGCTGACAGTACAGCATGGATTTTCCTGTTTCTCTGATTTCTCAACAACCATTTTGTATTTAGCAGCGCTGCAGTTTCTACTGATTTGCTCAGCACTTTCCTTTGAGCCCTTCAAGTTAAGGGTAGGAGGAATATGCAGCTTCTATTACTCCTAATCAACTCCCCAAATCTAATTCAGAGTCCACAAAAACTCGGCTTTTTAATGCTGTGAAGAACCTTCTGAGCATTTGCAGGTAGTTCTGAGTCTGAGCACTACTTTAGCTGCTGACAGTGTTGGCATTTTACCTCTGGACTGTCCTTCAGGGCATCGGAGCGGGGTAGCTCTGAGAGCTGGGAGAAGCGCCGGTCATAAATACACAGGTGGAGATGTTTGTCGAGTACTCTGAAATCTTCATAACTCCGCTTTACAATCCAGCTTCTGCCCTGCAGAGGGAGAGAGAAAAGCACCACGTCTTCATATATTCACCACCAACTCAGACCACTCTGATGAGCAGTGTAAAATGACAATCCTACCAGAAGCAATTCATCCTTTGCTGCCAATCCTCCCTTACGAAACACTTGAGTGTAAATACTGAAAGCCCAGTTCTTATTTTTATTTTAAACTTTAGCTTGTAAACAGTTTAAAATGCAATGATTCAACCTCATCTCTGGCACTAGTCCCTCAGATTTAATAAACTTACATGGGGATTTGATCTGACCCACTAATTCTAAAAGATGACGCGGGTAAAAGCCCACTTGTTCTGCGAGGGTTTCGTACCTTGCTCACCCCCAGAGTACCTCTGCATCCATGTAAATTAAAATAAGTTGTTGAAAGCTGTAGAGCTTAGCCCTAGTGGCTTCAAATGGGACTTTACGTGGACACAAAGCACAACCAGCAGGTCTGGAGTCTGTATCATTGGTAGCAGACATTCAAGAGGAAGGTCATCAGCGGAAGATATTCCACTGACATTCACTGAGGAACTGCTCCTGAGTATATCATTTTCCCAATTTAAAATATGGGCAAAATACATTTCATGCTGTTGCTGCCTTGGGAGACACAGAAGCAAAATCTTACCCTAGCAACAAAGTGCAATTTATTTTTGTGAAGCTTTTAATACACAGACACCATGTTCCAATTGCTTCCCAGCCTATTATAATCAATAAAAACTGTTGCGCTAATACAGCAGTTTACAGTTTCAAAACACTTTATGAACAGTAATTAATCCTTTCAGCTCCCCTCTGAGGGAGGCAAGATGATGATATCTCTGCTTCACAGAGAAGGAAACTGAAGCAGGGACTAAGGACCTCCACAAAACATCGCCATCTTCCCTTTCCAAGCCAAGATGCTTTTTCAGCCTGCCTTTCCTAACAAAGAGTGGCATGAGCATTTTTTTTTTTTAAATCCCACCAACACAGAGCACTCTACACCCAGCAGGGAGAAAATGAGACAATGAATCAAGCACGACATGTTAGTCATGTTGCTTAATATGCAACCGACAGGGGCTCCCATGCTGAGCGCCTGAACAGAACAGCACCACAGAGACGGGGAGTGAATTTGCTCCGTATCACATACAGCAACGTTAGTGCAGAGCCAGGGATCAAAATTCAAGAAATGACACGCAACGGCCAATACACACAACCGCGATACATGGTACGGTAGGCGAAGTGGAACACGAGAGCCAGTGGCAACCACAACACCAAAACTTGGCACCTTGGTGTGTTTTCAAATGTTCTAAGAGGCGCATTTGTAGGTCTGCTAGGGTCTGCTGTCCAAGCTCTGGCCGATGGGTCTAATATAGCCCATGATGGTCTGGACTCCACACTGTGGCTTCCTAACCCCTGGCACAAAGGTGCAGTTTGCAGGCACTGCTGGTCCCGTCACACAATGCTCTGCTAAGATCCAAGCAATTGCTTGTTCAGGCCAAGCCAATCTACAAAGCTGCCGGCCGAGATCTTCATGCCCAGCAGCTCTCTATTAAAAATTAAGCTGGCCGAAACAAAATGGAAAGTGGATAAAAATATGAACTACCTACCACATTTGTGCACAGTTCTCCACAGTTTCTTGCAGAAATAAATCACACTTTTTTCTATTTATGGTTGCGCTCTGCGTCAGGAGTGACATAAGAAGCTCTTATTTCCTCAAAGAGCCTGTTGATTATTAAGATATCTTTTTCACATTATTGTGCAAGCTTAGGATGATGCCCATTCTTCAATGTGGGAATTTGCTTAATTTTTCCAGCAACTTAATTTGCTATTTTTAGCTGCTAAATCCAAATGTTATTTACCAAAGAGGTGCCAGCTATCACTTTGGGGTCAGTTAATATACAAAGTTTCCACAGAAGCTGTAAATTCAGCTCTGTAATCTCCTCTACAGCACTATTTTCTAATTCATATACACATGCACATATATACACATACACATGCACATATATACACACATACATATACATACACACACACATATTTGTTTCACAGCTCTAGTCTGTGTGTACTGTACTTATAACTCCACTTTCATATCACTTTGGGGTCAGTTAATACACAAAGTTTCCACAGAAGTTGTAAATTCAGCTCTGTAATCTCCTCTACAGCACTAGCTATTTTCTAATTCATATACATACATACACATACATATACATATATATATACACAGACACACACACACATATTGGTTTCACAGCTCCAGTCTGTGTGTACTGTATTTATAACTCCACTTTCATACCACAAGGATCAATCAATATTTCACAAGCCTGGAAAGGTAAGTTCCACTACGCTTGATGCATTGAAGTTTTGTAGCTTTAATTCGTGTTTTCCTTTCTTTCGTCTGTCCACCTTTTCTTGCTTTATTTCTTTACAAGATAAAGACATTTGCAACTCACTCCATCTTATACAACTGAATTGTGGCCCTTCCTCTTTGGGCAAGTTCAACATGACCCTCAACTGAGCAGCAGTAGGGCCCCACCACACAGACGCACAGATCAAGAAACTGTTGCAGTCCTTTCTTTTGCGTTTGCCAGCTGCATATTAACAGGTCATTTCCATAGAGTCCTGTAGGCTACTTGTCCAAAGGTCAATACATTTCCACAGCATTTTTCAACCACTTATTATTACTGTGTCATGAATGACAATGCTTCCATGATATCTTTTGCTTAAATACCAGCTCGCTGTAGATATGCGGTGTCACTTAGTCGTAATTAAGACAATAAGACATAAATTTACAAGACAGGAATGGCTGGGGTCAGCAAACACTGCGGTTTTGAGCAGCGGAGCGTGTGGAATCAGGCTGTGGAACAGAATAGATGATATAATAGACCTTTGCTCATTGTTTAATGAAACAGTATCTAGGCTACTGGTAGCTACTAAGTCTATCAGATTCATGTATGGATAGTTTCTAGGCACACTGGGTTCACTGACTGCTAACTAACCTCAGTCAGAACAATAATAACCCTGGCAGTTATATACCGAATCGTCTTCCGGAATCGCTCTTCATGCACCGATGGCCAGAAGAAATGTTCCAGTATGCTGAATGCAAATATTTCCTTACATTCTCAGGCTCCGAGCCTGAAACAACGTACTTGTGCGTTTAATTTTCCATTCATGAGTATTTCTAAGGGAAAGCCTTTGCACAACTGGGACCTACATGGTTAAGTTTTATGGAAACCTAATGCAGTCACATTACTTTAGGATGCAATTTAATTTCAGGGGAAGGAAATCCTTGCAACGGGCTTTGCAAGAAATTGGACGTCATTTAGTGGAGATGTGTATAGTAATGAATCCAATCACACAGAATCATAGAAAAGCAGAGCCAGAAGGGACCTCAGGAGATCATCTAGTCCAGTCCCCTGCTCCAGGCATAATCAGCCCTGACTAAACCTTCCAGTAAAGTGTCTGTATAACCTAGTCTTGAAAATTTCTGAGAAAGGAGATTCCACAATCTCTCTAGGTAGCTTTTTCCAAGCCTTAACCACCCTCACAGTCAAAAGCCTCTTCCTAATCTCCAACCTACATTTCCTCTGCTGAAGTTTAAGACCACTGCTCCTAATTTGACCCCTATAGCCACAGAGATTAATCTAATCTCCATCCTCTCTATAACTACCCTTCAAGTATTTGAAGACTATTATCAAATTCTGTTCACGGTCTTCTCTTCTCCAGAATAAATAACCCACGTTCTTTCAGCCCTTCCTCCTAAGTCATGTTTCCCAGGCCTCTAACATGTTGGTCGCCAATGAACGGTCAGTACAAATCAACACCAGCTTCTTGGACGATCTTCCCAAGGTAAAAGCAGGTAGGTAAGTACCTGAATTAAGCTCTCAGCCAGACCTCTAGGGCTATACAGCCAAAATCAGGACAGCAGCTACCTTGTGAAAGAAACAGCAATTAAATGAAGATCCTACAGTTCACCATTACACTAACTGCAATGTCTTTTCTAATTCTAAAACACCAGAAGGTTTTGCAGAAGTAAATTGCTTTATTCAGAGATTTAATAAAACCACAGAAATGAGACAGAGAAAAACAATTAAATCAGCCTCATGGTTTCACCTTCATGTCTGCATTTTATAGAGAAGCTAAACATTACAGGTGCCTCAGGCAACTAATACATATTAACAAGTAAGAATGATTTCTTTTCATTATACATGGTCTCTTAAACTGCCCTTCCATGTCAATTCCTGTTCGCTTCCTAATTTCTACACTGCCAGTTTTATTTAATTATTTTTCCCCAGTCTGATTTATGGCTGGCCCTTATTCAGAAAAGATTCTCTGTTCAGAGCACTTAAATACACACTTAACTGCTATTCAGGTTAATGGGACATCATACACCTACATTTAGGCATGCACGTATGGCAGTGCTTCTCAATCTTTTTGGACTCAAGGCATGCCTCACTGGGCTCGAGGCATGCCTCGCTAGATTTGAGGCACCCCTCCGTAACTTTTGTGAATGGAGTTGTGCCCAGTTTCAAAAAATAATGTACATGTTACAATGCTTCATTCCTTGTAGAGAGGCTGGGCAGTGGATTGACCAGACAGAGACAATCTTGACCCTGCACTTACCTGCTTATTTCTTTACTTTTCTCCTCAAACCTCATGGCAGCCTTCATACAATCTGGCAGCACCCCTGGGTGCCACAGCACCCTGATTAAGAATCGCTGGCATAGGGGACATCTTGGATCAGGGCTTGTGTTTATGAATCCAGGGGCTTTTCATTTCCAAAGCATTATGCTCAGTAAAGAAAAGCAAACTAGCTAGAAATTTTCTAAAAAAAAAGTTTATTTTGACTGAAAACACAGTCCATAAAAGCCTAAATGTTTCAAATGACGTGCCAATTTTGACAAACCGAAACATTTAAATAACACAACAATGCCCCTCTTCTAAACATTTTAGAATGAAAAATGTTGAATTTTCATTTCAAAATGAGTTTAAAAGACAAAACGGTTGTATACACCGGTACA